TAACGTCAGAACCACGTGGCCAAAGATACCAAGTTCTGCTGATTGCTGGGGCTGGAACATGACTCCTTGTTCAGTTGCATCTACACTAGCTTTCTGTTTTCCATGGTTGCCTTCCCTGCCTAGACTTGGCTATTCTGGACCTTGCTCTGTAGCCCTGGCTGTCCTGAACTCGGAGATCTGCCTGCCTCTGCCTTCTGAGTGCAGAAGACTTTTATTTGTTCTGGAAGTTAAGACATGCAGCACTACACCTGGTTCTCAAACCTTTTCTTAAATTCATTTTTTACATGTTGGAAACTTAGCTGGGTGGGATCTTGCCCTGAGGTCACTACTCCCTTTATTACATTTTTAAATCTCTTTATCTCCTTGAGCAGAGAATTTAGTTCCATTTGACTTCCTGATGCTCCTTTTCTCCCTGGATTTTATATTTCATATTTTACCTTTCTCAGCTTGTTCCTTTTCATTATAAGTCTTCATTTGAGTCACCACTGATAGCCAAGTTTCCTCTGCCAACAGAATTAATCCAAATCTCTTCACCTTAGCCCCAGTCAGACTTCTGACAAGGGCAAAAGGCAGCCACTTTCTTCACCAAAATATCACAAAAACAGTCTTTAGGCAACATACTGAAATTCTTCTCATTTGAAACCTCTTGAGCCAGCCCTCCCCCCTTCCCGGTTCAAGATAATGTGGTTTTTGGTGTTCCTTAAAAGTGAAGACTGCAGGATTCCCTTGTTCTTTTCTACCTCTAAAACTCTGATTCACTAATAATTCAGGATTGGATATAGCATAACATTCATGCCTTTTCACTGCCCCTGCCTCTAACAGACTGGAAGTACTTTAATCTAAACTGTGTGTGAAATGCTTGCTCGTAGTGGACTTAAGCCCTCACTGGAGAGGTAGGGGTTACAGACAGTGAGTACAAAGAACTCAGACACTGCTTCTGCCCCCCTCTTTGTTTTATATACTGTAGTAGCTGGTGTGATTACCAAAACACCTGCTGGATTTCAGTGTATTGTTTGTAACAGTATGAGGATAGCCTTGCTCTAGGGTTTTTGTAACCCTCAGGCCTTCCTTGCTAGCACCACAAAACAAACCTCACATTAACAAAGTTAAGAGCTAACTTTGTTGCTAAACCCATCCCTTCTGAAAGGCTGTTCTTCCCTGCAGTCGGGGATGAGCAACAGCACCTCCTGAAGGTTTATTAGAAATCCAGAATTCCAGACACTGCTTCAGAACTGCTGCATCGGAATCTATCTCCACAGCAATTCTGAGTGGTTTGATTTGCATTTTCAAGTTTGAGAAAACTAGCAGCCATCTGACCCAACCTCCTGAGATTCCCCATGTTAAAGAACACGGGTGGGACTTGTCATTTATCCTCAGAATGCCTCAGGTTAATATTGACCATGATAGGAATGTCTGGGGGTAAGAGAGGACGCCTGGAGTGTACATCTGACTCCAATTTCTGTGAGTCTCTTATCACGTTCTACTCCATATTTGTGTGCTCTGGTTCTCTCTGACATCTACCTTCTCCAGCAGCATTTCCTTCTAGCGCCTTTGTCATTCCCCCCTAAATCACCACATTCACATTAAATCTCAGCGTTCGGAAAACATCTGAGTTTCTGAGCATGTCTTACGCTGTGAAAAATTACCTCTTTTCTCCCTTCGTCCTCTTCTTCCTCTTCCTCCTCTTTTTTTTTTTTATGAGTGTTTTATAAGTGTTTTGCCTGCATGTGTGTTTGTGCACCGTGTGCGTAACTGGTGACTGTAGAGGCCAGAAGAGAGCATCAGGTCCCCTGGAACTGGAAGTGCAGGTGGTTGTGAGCTGCCATGTGGATGCTGAGAATCCAGCCAGGTTCCTCTTCCTCTGGAAGGAGTAGCCAGTACTCTTAACCACTGAGCCATCTCTCCAGTCCCTCTTTATTTTTGGTAGAAATACTTTGATTTACATAGGCCCCAACATAATTAGTATTACAAACACATTTCATGTCGTGAATGATTTTGGATTATCTAATACTTTATTTTTCACTTGCCATTTTATATTTTTATTCTGCTTGATGTTGAATTTAAAGAATGAATAGGAAAGAGCACAAGAACCTCATACACATACACGTATGTATGTGGCTCTTACTGTTACTACCATTTGCCTCAGTGTATCAGTTAATAATGTGTCCCCTTAAGCCTAAACTGTCCCAGGACCTTGTTTTATCCCGTGGACATTTTCTGGCTTGTGAACTGCACCTATCGTGTTCTTCCTAACTTCCCATCAGGCCTCCTGTAGAAAGCATTCATCCTCACTTATTGTGGTAATGCCAGAAGCCCAAGGTCAGATGCTGTAGGATAGGCCCATGTAACTCAGGTCTGATGTAGACAAAAGGCTGACATAGTGTCAGCAGTGTGGACGCTGGTCTTCTGGGACTGGTGTTGCAGCCTGCCATCCCTGCAGTGGAGAGCAGGGCCTTTACATGAGTATCTCATCTCCAGAAGGGAGTCCTGACCAGTTCCGGCTTACTGTGCAGACTGCCTTTGAGAAATTGTTTCGCTGCTGGCACTCAAACTCTTTAACCAGTTGTTTTCTCAATTCTTTAAAAATAATTAATGTGCACTTATAGAATTTTTCGTGTTAACTTTTTGTGTACTTCCAATTCTAGTAAATTAAGAAGTACTTAGGGGCTGGGGAGTTGCTCAGCAGTTAAGAGTGTATAGTGCCCTTGCACAGGCCCTGAGTTCAGGTCCCAGTACCCACCTCAGGCATTCACAACAGTCCATAACACCAGCTCCAAGACATCCAGCCCTCTCGTGGATTCGGTGGTCACCTGCTGCCACGTTCACATGGCACGGACGCGTGCAGTGACACGTATACATACATCATTCTTAAAGTTAAAAGAACATTTTAGATATTTGGATATGTTAAATGTTTTAATTTGAAGTAGTTTTTAAGTCCAGTCTTTAAAATCTGCTTATAATCATCATCTTTAATCATTGGTAGTCATATTTTAATTTGTTGAAGCATAAATAAAAATGTCTTTTTTATAATTACTTTTTGAATAATGTATCAGAAAAGAAAACATTTAATATATGGAATGAGCAGGATATGGTGAAACACAACTCAATCCCCTTGGAAGGTGGTAGCAGAAGTATCAAGAATTCAGAGTCATTTTTGGATACATGGTGAGCTTTGGGCTCACCTTGGTTTCATGAGACCCCCTTTTTTTGTAACCTAAACATACACACTGAATTTCTTACATTGAAATGTTGCTTGCAAACTTCAGTGTATATTGTTGATGAGATACTGTTGATACTTTGATGGAGGAGGGTTATCTGTCTATTGTGTTATTTTCATTGGTCAATAAAGAGACTGCCTTGGCCCCTTGATAGGACAGAAAATTAGGTAGGCGGAGTAAACAGAACAAAATGCTGGGAAGAGGGCTATGAGCCAGACGCCATGGAGCCAGCCACCAGGTCAGACATGCTGAATCTTTTCCGGTAAGCCACCACACCGTGGTGCTACAGATTATTAGAAATGGGTTAATATCAAGATATGAGAGTTAGTCAGTAACTAACTCTCTTGAGATAATGGGCCAGGCAGTATTTAAATGAATACAATTTGTGTGTTGTTATTTCTGGGACTAAGCTAGCTGTGCGGGAGCTGGGCAGGATGAAAAGCAGGCCTGCCTGCAGCTCCTTTCTACAATACTTTTATGTCAGCTTGACATAGGGTAGGCTCATTGGGAACAACATTCCCATGATTGGTCTGCAGGCAAGTCTGTGGGGGTGTGGGTACATTTACTTGATTCATGATGATGTGTGCAGGCCTACCCCATTGTGGGCAGCACCACACCTGAGCAGGTGGTCCTAGGGTGTCTAAGAAAGCAAACTGAGCAAGTCAGAAGGAACAAGCCAGTAAGCAGCACTTTTCATCAGTTCCTGCACTGGCTTCCTTTGATGATGGACTGTCATGTGGACATGTCTGTGAAATAAACCCTTTCCTCCCTGAGATGTTTATGGTCGTGCTGTTTATATTACAGCAGTGGAAACCCTAATTAAGACAGCCAGGGTTCTCTAGATGAACAGAATCAGCAGAATGAACACACGCATTTATATTATGCATATGCATGTATAATAAAAGTGAAGTGAATTGTGTAGAGGTGGCTCTTTGGTTAGGAGTGCTTGCTCCTCTTTAGAAAACCTGAGTTTGGTTCCCAGCACCCACATGGGGCAGGTCATATCACCTATAATTGTAGCTTTGTGAAACCCAACACCCTCTTATGGCTTCTGCACACATGTGCACAGAAACACATAGATACAGACCCATTCAACCATATAAACTATCGAAGAGAGCAAGTGTTAGAATGTCTTATGTGATGCTGCTCAAGTAGTTCAGCAGTATCTGTCTAAACACTGGACTAACCCTGTAACTGCTGAGTCCACGAGTTCCAGCTTAGCCCTGAGGGCCTAGAGCAATTCATCTTCAGTCAGATTCGAAGCCTGAAGAATCCGGGTTCTGGCATCTGTAAAAGAAGGCAGCAGCTACAGTAGCTACAGGCAGTTACAGTAGTGGCAGTGGTACAGGCAACTACAGGATAAATGAACTAACGGGTGAGGTACAAAGGCAGAGAGGCAAATACAGCCTTCTCCCCATCCTCCTCCCGTCTGGGTGCCACCCATGGGTGCTGCCTACATCTAGTATGGATTTTCCCATTGCAGATAAGCTGGCCAAGAGAATCCCTTGGCCACTAGTTGATTCCAGTCTAGTCAAGTTGGCATCCATGATTTACCCCTGCATCTTCCTACCACCCTGTGTAAATGCACGCCACTATTCCTGTGTGTGGTAAATTAGTACCCACCGATTTCACTACCTGCCTTTACTTCAAACGTGTCTTCCAGCTCTGTAATTGTCGAAATTCTGGGACTCGATCCTGCTCCTGAGTGGCAGTGTTTTGGTGTTCTCAGATACTGTTTCCTTTACGTTGCGGTGAGGTAATGAGTATGTCCTCCTCTTTTAGGTACGCTTTGTAAAGAATATAACCACCTGGAACGAGATGAAGCCAGGGTTTTATCATGGACACATTTCTTATTTGGATTTTGCAAAGTAAGTAGCATCCAAACTGATGTACTAAAGAATGCTTTATATGTCATCAGCATAAAACCGAATAACTTCATTAAAGTGTTAGGATTTTGGTTTTAAAAAAAGAATATACTGACACACCTCTTTTAGACCTGTAATTTAAATATTCCTTCCAGTGCTTTACTGCCCTCTAGTGTTCATAAATTGACACTTCTCATGCTAATTAAGGAATTCATGTTCTGTTAAGTTAGGGGATATGGAACAGTTTCCCATATACAACGGGAGCCGACTGACTCCGGGAGCTCCCAGGTTCTAGCCTAGTCAGTGACCACGGCTCTCTAGGTCACTGACCGAGAAAACAAAGAAACTCTCACTCAGTTTTGGCACTGCAATGTGTTTTCCCTTGAGCTGCTGTAGGGGGAGACGTCTTAAAAATTAAGAATTTTATTTTATGTTTGAACGTGATTGTGTAAGTCAGGGTAATTTTCTCTTAATAGAAAAGCTCAAAAGACTATAGACTACAAACAATGCTCAAGCATTCCGTGGCCCCCTTGAGAACCTTTGCATCATTAAGGACTAATCAGAAAATTGGTTAAAAGGAATAGTCTAAATACAGCATCTGTTTGAGTGTTCTCAGTGGAACACGTGGTTCTGCTCCAGCAAACCTCACATCAAACGCTCCACTCGTAATACTCTGTTAACTTGAGGAGCATCAGGAAATGGCTGACTAACTTGAGGCATGTTCCTGTTTTTAAACTAGAGCTTGTGTCTTACAGGAATATGTTTATCAACTGTCAACTTTTAAGAGCCATTCTGTGTAAATTTTAAAATGAAAGGAGTATCTCACTCTCCTTTTTTAAGGCTGAGAAGGAAAAAGAACAGAAAGGTGTGTCCCTGGGTCAGATAATAGAAAATCTTAACTTCTTTGGAAATTATATAATTAAAGAATTGCCCAAATATTACATACATAAAGTGATATATTCCTGACTCCCCTCATAATTCCTAAGGTCCTTCAATAAAATTGTAACTTCAAGTAAATTCATACTTTTCTATAAATAATTCATGTTGCAATATTGAAAGCATTTTATAGGCAGCTTTAAAATAAACTAAAATTTTTCTCTGCAGAGGCACTGAACCAGTCTCATAAACTTTATTCATATGCATATTTCCCCTGAAGGCTGCATTATCCTTCTGCGAGTGTTTGTTACCCTTTCACCTAAATGATTTGTTTTTTCTCTACATGGCCTGGTTTCTAATACTGTAGATTTTCATTATTAAAATTACATATTGAGTGTTTTTGCTTTGGGCACAATCTTGTACATAGAGCAAAGCTCTGGTTTGCTGAGATACTTGAACTTGAAGTATATAAAGCTTTTTAAAGAATAGTCTTATTAAATATTGACAGCAACACTGGGTTTGAATATTTTCATATTGGCTTATGTTGTTGGAAAAAGTAATATATTGTGAAAATTTTAATAAGCTAACAACATTTTAAATAAATGCTAAACAGTTAGAGGGGATTGTTCTATGTGTCTTAATGGATACAGTCAAGACATTCTGTAGATGTGGTATCCTCAGCTGGGTAGTCACAGACTCTGTGGCTAAGGAGGGAAGAAGGAATCATCACTTGCCGATTTTAATACTTTATTCTTCAAAACACTGAGCTGGGAATGCTGGCAAATGCTGTAGTTTTAGTCACCTGGGAGCTGGTACAGGAGGATTATGTGTTTGAAGCCAGCCCAGACAACTTAGCAAGATCCCGTCTCACATCTTAAAATGAGAGTTTAGGAAAATAACCCTGTAGGTAAAATTGTGAGGACCCAGGTTTGACTCCCTAGAGCTTTGGAGAAACCAGGTTTGTAGCAGAAGTGCTCATATTGCAGGGGTGGGGAGGTGGGGAGGTGGGGAGGTGGGGGATGGGGGATGGGGGGTGGTCAGTGGAGTCCCTGGAAACCCAGCAGCCAGCTAGCCTGCTGGCAGCAGCAGGGAAACCCTGGCTCAAAGGAAGTGGAAAAGAGGATTGGCATCCGTGATTGTCCTCTGACAACCACCATGCATATGACACATGCACCCATGTTCACACACACAGCTCATTTTACAGAACAAACAAATGAATAATTCTTAATGTTTAAAAACAAACTTATTATGTGGTTCTATAGAAGAATGTCATCTAGTTATGGTGGGAGCCCTGGGTTCGTTCAGTCTCTGTTAATCAATACCATAACAAGGCACCATGGGAGTGGAGAGATGGTTTAAGCCAGTGGTTCTCAAACTTCCTAATGCTGCAACCCTTTAATACATTTCCTCATTGTGGTGACCCCTAACCATACAGTTATTTTTGTTGGTACTTAATAACTGTAATCTTGCCACAATTATGAATTGTAATATAAATATCTGTGTTTTCCAATGGTCTTAGGTAACTCCTGTGATAGGATCATTCAACCCCCCCAAAGGGGTCACAACCTACAGGTTGAGAACAACTGGTTAAGTAGTTCAGAGTACCGGCTACTCTTCCAGAGAACCTGGCTTTGGCTTCCAGCATCCATATGGTGGCTCGTGATCATCACTCCAGTTCCAAGGGATCTGGTGCACAGGCATGGTGCACAGATATCCATTCAGGCAAAATACCATACACATAAAATAATAAGGTCTCAAAATAGGATAAAGATGCAAAAACAGGCTCCTATGTTCTTGGCTAGGATCGTCCTCTGCTTGGTGGAGTTCCATAAGTTACTTGCTGTTAGAGGAATAATGGTCAATTCATGGTGGAAATGTGTTTAGTTTTTCAGTTTATTTACCAGATAATAAAAGATTGAAGCATAATTGAGTTCTCTGAGAACCCATGGAAAATGTCGGGAAATAGGTGAAAAAATCCTTTCTAGTGCGGACTGACTCGTAAGGAATGCACCTTCTATCTAAAGCCTCTCAAGTTGAGTCCTGGCTTTGCAATTTTTCTGCAGTGTTAGGATAGAAAAAATAAATGTTTCTTATTTAGCAGTTAATTTCTTGTTCTATTTTCCACCCTTTGCCTTAACCCCTTTTGATTTTTTAAGTTACTTCACCTAGTCCTACTTTTCCTGTAAGTGCTCAGTTGCTGTTTGTTTTCTTAATGAGGAACAGTTTTCTAATAGTTTAGATATGACAAATTAATGCCATTGACTTCATTATTTTCTATTTTAAAATTATATAGGTTGGACATTTTCAAAATGCCAGCGTGAATATCAAACTGCAAGTTGCAGTTCTTGACTAATGAGTTCATTGACATCCCCTGTCTTTCTAGAGAGAAGAGTTTGTTTCCTGAAAACTGTAAATACTCATAGCCATTCTATTTAAATGTATGTTGTTCATTTATCAGTAGCATTTATTGACTGGGAGTCATCCTAACAGATGAATGTCCTTGATGTCACAATGCCATCAATGAAACCAACAGATGCCAACAGGTCATTCACTTTTTTGGAACTAAACCAAGGCGATCTGCCACTAGTATGAACCACTTACGGCTAGGAGTCCCACATAAATATTTATGGCCAGACTTACGCAGACTTAATGGCTGGTGTAGTTGACATGTTCTTTGGGTTGCCACCCGGCTCCCAAATAAAAACACAGAGACTTATTCATTATGAGTGCTTGACCTTAGTGTAGCATGAAGGGGAGCCTGCTTGTTTGTGTTTTCTGTCCTGCCTGGTTCCCACAGTGGTTTAGCCCCAAAGAAAATCACACAGAGATCTCTATAAGTTATAATGCTGATTGGCCCATTAGGTCAGGCTACTTATTAGTTCTTATAACTTATCTTAACCCATTATTCTGATCTATTTTAGCCATGTGGCTCAGTACCTTTTTCAGTGGGGCAGATCACAACCTGCTGCTTCTGTGGTCTGGGCAGAAGTGGGAGGAATCAACTTCCTCCTTCCCAGAATTTTCCTGTTCTCATTGCATCATTTCCACATCCTGTCTGGTTTTCCTGCCTATACTTCCTGCCTGGCCAATCAGTGTTTATTTAAAACATGATTGCCAGATTACAGACAATTCTCCCGTACCACCTTAGCTTAGGCTTGTCCCACTAGCTCTTTTAACTTCACCTGTTTCTATTCATCTACGTTTTGCCTTGGGGCCCTTTACCTTTATTTCATTCTGTATGTCTTACTTTCCTGCTTCCTCTGTGTCTGTCTGGCACTTGTCTCCCTTTCTTTCTCCTTGAGCCTAAATTCTTCCTTCTGCTTATTCTCCCTGCCCATAGGTCCCACCTATAACTCCTTCCTCACTATTGGTTCAGCTCTTTATTAGACCAGTCAGGTGCCTAAAGGAGGCAGGGTAAAACAGCAACACCTCTTTATATAATCAAACAAATGCAATATATTTTTACATAGTTAAACAAATATTCTGTAACACAAACAAATGTAACACATGTTTACATAGTTAAACAAATAATTCTGCAATATAAATAAATGCAACACACTTGCATAGTTAAACAAACATTCTGCAACAGGCTGGCAAGATTGCTCAGCGGGTAAAGGCATGTCACCAAGACTGATGACGTGAATTTGACCCCTGGGAACCACCCACATGATAAAGGAGAGAAGCTTCTTCTGCAAACTATTCTCTGGCCTAAACACACAGGCACAGGGCACATGCACACACACAACAACAATAGTAATGTTTTTTTTAGTTGGTGCTTAAATAAAGATGGAAACTATGTTACAGAAGTCTCAAAGTATAGTATTTCCCAAAGACTGTCACCGCTCTTCACAGTTTCTTCATCCCTCCTTTAGACTTTGACCAGTAGATTGGGTTCCTTACAAATGCCTGGCATATGTCCTTGCTCTTCAGACAGTTTTTGATTATTACCCAAGCTATGTGAATGTAGTTGTAAAGAAGTAATTCTAGTGTTTGTTCCTTTTTGCACCACATATGCTGGCATGGCGTAGATTTCTAAAGTATCAGTTAACAAGCCTGCTGGTGGGTAGCTAGATGTAGACATAAGCGTGCTCTGAAATACTCGTCTGCAGACACCTACCATGTGTACGCCTCTTTTCACCAGTCAGTCGTTGATTCTCCTTAAACAGGAGTAGGTTTTCTGTCCTTCCACCCAGGTCTTCCTAAGGAACAACCCGTGGAAAAAGTCTTCAACTACTGAACTTGATTCTCTCCCAGTATAGGTTATAAGGTTGGCAAAGTTAAACCAACAGACCTTGTTAGCTTTGTTTCTTACCCAACTGTGGAGTGTGGCCCAGGTGCCATTTTATCATGCCCATTTCTGTTCTGCTCCCCTGCTTCCAGCCCTTTATGCCTACATAGCCCTTCTGCAGTTACAAGTAAGGATTCATTTCTATTTTCAGAATGAGCCCACAGATTATCTCATTAAAATCGTGCTTCACACATAATCAGTGCCACTCAAAGTGTCCACAGACAGCTGAACGCTATGTGTGGCAAAGGTTTGTACAGTGTTGTACTCTGTTCAAGACTGGGGAGACAAGGGAAGTGCAGACATTCTGAGAGGTTCTGGGAAGCACTGAGGGCCTGGCTCGCAGTGGGGGCAGCAGCCGATGGAAAATATGGTAGTTTCCCTGGTAACCCCCAGTCTAAGGGATGCTGTCGGTGCCATGCACTTTTCTCTCCTTGTAGCTTCTACCTTGTCCCTTTAAGCTGAAATGGTAAGTGAGCTTTACCAATGCCTTCCTGCTGAGTGCTCTCATACAGAGCAGTGTAAGTGGTTAGTGCCCGTAGTCTGTCTACCCTAATTAATACCTCGCACCTCTGCGCTTTCTGGGCCCTCAGCACTGGTGATGAAGGAAAGCAGCTGCAGCCTCTTTGTAGCCTCTACTGAGTCCTTTCATCAGGTGCTTGCTACGTTTGCAACATCGCATTTTCCTCTTTAAACCTTGCTGATTTACGGATCCTCAGAAGACTCATACAGCAGGGGATTAGTAAGACAAGCTCAGAGTTGATTTTACCTGAGCCTAGTAGCATGTGGGTACTGCAGGTGTCAGATGAAAGCAGATAGCTTTGTATGCAGTGGGTGTTGGGGACACGAGAGTGTGTCGCGTCTCCTCGTCATCATGTAACAGCCCCTCGCCTTTGAAAGATGACCCATTGCACTGCTCTCCCAAACCCTCCAGTGCTCCTCACACGTCTCCTAGAAATGGGTGATTAGACTCATCTACAGGGCCATGTGCTTGACTCCCCGAAGCCTGTGACCCCTCTGCTCCCATCTTCCTTCACTCTCCTTGATGCTGCAGCCTTCTTCCTGTGTCTCCAACATTGGCACTAGAACCTTCAAGACCTTCAGCTTCTGAGATTTCCTCTTCCAGAATGCTTTCCCCCACATATCTGGATGTGTCCCTTTTGTATGTAACATCAGTGGTGACATTGGTGGGACATGGTTTTGACCTGTGTGTCTGTCACCTGCCCTGGCATTCTTCATTTCCCTGAAGTCTCTGCACTTTACCATCTGAGCTCACTGATACATACTGTTCTCTGCCCCCCAGTAAAATGTTAGCTCTGGAAAAACAAGGTTTCCTCTTTCCTTTTCTTCTATCCTTCCCCACACACGTCTGTATCTGTACAATTTAGATTACTGTCTGGCATACATTTGGTATACACACACACACACACACGAAAAAAATATGGAGAGAAGTATTGGAGGGAAAAAAAAAAGACGAGCATTGTAGATCAGGATGACTGGTGTGGGTTTTGAGGTGTGGTCAGGCATGCCTGTAACTGGAAGCTTCTGCCTTGAGTAGAATTGAAGAAAACAATAAATAAGGTGACACCTAAGCTGTAAAAGGACCAGCGTAAGATAACCAAGGAGGTGGGATGAGGTTGTCACCGTTGTTACTTTTGAGGTGCTAGGAGTGCGTCCTGGGACCCTGAACATGCTAGTCAAACTGCACCTCAAATCCCAGAAGCTTAGTTTTGATTTCAGCAATCAGTGAAGTTTATTTCAGATTTCAAAGAGCTGGTGAACTAGTGTGCTAGGAGAACCAGTTAAGAATTGGTATTTGAGGTAGACCAGTTAGACACAAGAACACCAACTAGAGCATTACTGTCAGTTGTTGGGAAAGAAGATGAGCTGGATACTGGAGAGGTCAGTTCCCCTCCCCCATTCCGCAGGGTAATGTGTCCCAAGGTGTGTATCTCATAGATTGTTTGTCTAGTTCTAGGTAGACTCTAAATGTAGTGTTGATGTTGCTATTTAAGCTAATCAGTGTGTTGCCCTGTGTGTCCTGCAGAGGTTATGAGGTAGAGCAGATGGAATACAGTTTTCTTAAGAAGGCTGGGGCAGGTACCCTGGTAATCTGGGGATAGTGCATATAGCTTCAGGCATAGGATACTTGTCATTTCCACAGGTGACATGGTAGAAACATCACCCTGATAGGCCTGTATAGATGAGGCCCAGCAAACGTTTGGCTGGCACTTGTGAGTTCTTAAGGCTACATGGGGTTGGCGTTGTCAAGGTGTGCCCAGTGATGAGCTGAGGCACATGTCCATGTCTGAGTGCCACATTGATCAGCTCTAAGGGTCACAATGGCCAGTTCGTGCCTCTAGGATCTGATCTCAGGACCTCACTGTGCAGTCCTCTAAACGCAGGCTGTGTGGCTGCTTAAACTCCTCAGAAAGCAGAGTCCTCATAGACAGGGCCTGCCCGATCCACACCTCCAGGGCCCCTCAGGACAGATTGCCTCCTTACTTCTTGAGGGCATAGGTGGGTATTCTCCATCGTTTCTTGAATTGTTTCTTGTTTACTTTGTGACATCCTAGATATGAAATATTCCACAGTTTTCACATACACAGTTTCATTTTAATTAATTCATTTTGTTACTTCCGTATACCATCAGTACTTCAGACTTCTGTATATAATTTCAGGGCATGCCTGAACTAATGAAAATGCTGACCTCATCACTGGAATTCTGCTGTTTCAGATTTGGAGTGAAGAAGAAGCCCATTTATATTAATGTCATCAGGGACCCTATCGAGAGGCTAGTTTCCTACTATTACTTTCTGAGGTTTGGCGATGATTACAGACCAGGATTAAGGAGACGGAAACAAGGAGACAAAAAGGTAATGTGCTTGCTGTTGCTCATAAGCATTCTCCTTGTTCAGGGTTGGCATTTTGCAGGGAGCTCAGGACTACAGAGAAGCAATGGTGAAGTGTAACATGGATAATTCTGTGACTGTCTCAACATACGTGCTGTTTTATTACAGCCCTGCTGTACTAGTTTCTGTTCTTGCTGCTGTATCAAAATTCATAGTTTATTTCAGTGCATGGTTTGAAGCTTGGTAGTGGAAGGGAGACGCAGCTGTACTCAGCACACATGTGAGCACACACACATATTCAGTTATACGTTTCTGGAAATGCCTCCCACAAACAAAGTCCAACTTTTTCTCCAAGGTGACTCTAAGTTAAGTTGACAATAAATATTAACCATTATACTTACTGACAATTTTCTAGGGGATCATTGTTGATGAATCTATTTTTGTATATATTTTGTTTCTTTGTCTTAATGATGGTGTCTTAGGGTTTCTGTTGCTGTGAAGAGACACCATGACCATGACAAATCTTATAAAGAAAAACGTTTAATTGGAGCGACAGCTTACAGTTTCAGAGGTTCAATCCATTATCATATGATGGGGAGCATGGCGGTGTGCAGACGTGGTGCTGCAACTGTAAGCCACAGGAAGTCGACTGAGACACTGGGTGGTATCCCGAGCATAGAAAACCTCAACTCCTGTCTCCACAGCAACACATTTTCTCCAACAAAGCCACACTCTCCTAATTGTGCCACTCCCTATGAGATTTGGGGGGCCAGTTACATTCAGACTACCCTAGATGGCAGTCTACATTGCTTGTATCATCGTTCGTGAAGACTGTTCTGCTTGAAGCAAGTGTGGCTGTCTGTAGCATGTCCTCTGTGGTGTCATCAGAGTCAGGTTCTCAGAACCACGCTGATCTGTGCCTTTTTAGTGGAACACCTTTCTAGGTTCCACGCTCACATATCCCCAAGGTAAGGTAGGGCAGAGAGACGGCTTAGCCGTCACAACCTGAGCTCAGTTTCAAGGCCCCACATAGTAGAAGGACAGAACTGGTCTCTCACTGTGCACGGGTATACACACACACACGCACACACACACACACACACACACACCCTTCATATCACCACAGATAATAAATAAACCTAAATTTATTTACTTACCTAAGGCTTAGGAGACACAATCTAATATGATCTTATACCTATCTGCCTCTGTAGCTTCATTACCCCGTATGCCCAGCCCAGTGTTGAGCCACATTGAAAAGCACATGCCTGTGGAACTCATTATTGCTTCATACTTTTTGCACATGTGTTGTCCCTCATGCTTAGAGTGATTTTTCTTCTCTTTAAAAAGCTCTTTTTTTTCTTTTCTTTTTTTTTTTTTACATTTAAGATTAAACTTTGTCATTACCTCTGCCATGGATTTGTCTCTGATGTTCCCAGACTGAATTAGTCACATTCTTTTCAAGGTTCCCAGGGCTGGAGAGATGGCTGAGTGGTTAAAAACACTTATGGAGGGCCCCAGTTTGGTTCCCAGAACCTATGCTGTGCAGTTTCCAACTGTCTGTAACTTCAACTTCAGGGGATCAGATGTGCACATGTGTGCAATGTGCATTTGTGGGTTGGTGCACACACCTGAGTGCGTAAGCACACACGTGTATACACACATCTTAAAGAAAATTAAGGACCCCAGAGAAGTTTTGTTTATGTAGCCATTTGTTAATATTTACCAATATAAGTAAGTGTCATAGTTTACGTGGAAAATTTTAGCTTATTTTTGCCGTTTATTTTGCGGGTCGGTGCACATGCCAGAGGACAGCTGTGGGAGTTGATCTCTCCTTTCACTGTATGGGTTTCGGGAATCAAACTTTGGTCCTCATAGGAACAAGCACTTTCACTGCTGAGCCATCTCACTAGCCAGAGAATGTCTTTAAATGGTCATTTTAGGAACCTGTCTCATGTTAACTGAGAATACTTTTGTTTAAATAATCATCTTTCCAAAAAAAAAACAGAGAGTGACATCATTTTACATTTCAGAAAATCTTCCAATATCTAATTTAATAAAGACAGCCTGATTTTCATATTTTTAATTCAGTCCAATCAGTTGCACTTTTTTTTCCTTTGGATAAGGTCTATAAAGAGATCCAGCTATATGCAAATATGTATTTGGAAAAGAAAGTTTTAATAACCTTTCCCCCAAATTGAGGCTATTTTTAATATGACAGTGAATTTGACAAGTGGACGGTCCAAGTGTAGGATATGGACCCACAGTGAACTTTTCACAGTAAAAATCCCTTGATATGTTTGATGCTGTGTATGAAATTGGCCTTTTAGTCCGTAAGTTTTCAGACATCCTGCATTGTTTCATACAGTTACATTGAGCTCCCAAGGGTTAATGCATTTTCATCATACAGTATCAAAAATTCATATTTATTAACCCAGCTACAGACACTATCAGCAACACATTTCTAAAATACACATTTCTAAAATGTTATTTCTTACTTTGAAACTTAACTTTTACACAGGCTATTGTAGATTCCTCTGTGTGGAGATGGCCATTTATCCTGTGCACTTCCTGCAGATTAGAGGCTGTTTAAAGAGGTTGCTGCTGCTACTTAGTAGCATCTTCCAGACCTCAGATAGAGAACTAACTCACCCTGTCTCCAAGCATGACTGATGCCACCAAGACCTTCAGGCAAGGACACTCAGTTATTTCCTTTCAAGTGGCACAGTTGACTTGTTCTAAGGAAATATCACCAAGTACAGGAGTGCAGCCTTGTCAGACAAAAGAGCATGTCATTGCTGAGTAGAGCCATTCCTTGGGCCACCTTCCCCCACTGGGAAAAGGGAAGGGAAAGCAAGCTGTTTCCTTCTGAGCAAGTGACCCAAAAGTTGCCCACATTCCTTCTGCCTTCAGTCCATTAGCAAGCCCGTGATGGAATGGCCATGCTGACCCTGCAAGAGATGCTGACAGTTTTACCTATGGGGGATTTAGTTGGGGAGGTAACTTTAGTCTGTCTGAGTCCGATAGCAGATTTAAAGCTACTGCCTAAAAACAGATCTGAAGATCTTCTAAATTTTCTTTGCCTGAAAGACTAAAATACTTGAAGAACACAGGAACCAGGAGGTTGCTAATTAAAGAATTGAGTTAAAATAGCCATCCGGTATGATTATTCAGTTTTAATTCAGATAGTTTGCATGAAATCCCCAGAGTTATCTTCATATAGTCCACATTGTATACATAGTAAATTATGTATGGACACTTTAATATTGCAGTCTCCTACCATGCTGCTTTCTTAGACTTAAGCCAATCTTTTTAATGTCTTTGAATTTCACACACACGATCATGTGCACACATTGACTAGTAGTGGAGATGTTGAGCTCATTTAGTAACTTACTTGTCCTCTGGCTTGCACCCTAGTCTGGTAGAAGCCTGAAGAAGCCTAGAGTCCTCTACTGAGCTATAGGGAGCATGCCATGTGCTGGGCCTGTTAGAAATAGGCATGAAATCAGAAACTTCCTGACCTGTTGCACTTAGTTCCTTGAGCCACAGTCTTCATAAAAATTGGGGTCTAATAGCGATAAGTGGAGAGATAACGTGTGCTTGCTGCCCACCCCGTTTGGTAAAGCCACTCTTTTAAAGGAAGCTTTGATCAGGAAATCTCAATCAGAAGGCCTTAGTCTCTGTCCTGTTGCTGTGACAAAATGCCCTGATGAAAGCGACGTAAGGGGAAAGGGTTTCCTTGACTCGCTGTTCTAGACCAGACCCATAAGCTCAGGGGAGTCAAGGTAACAGGGACTGGAAGCAGCTACTCAGTGTCTTTAGTCAGCTGCAGAGAATAATTAATGCACTCATACTTGTTTTCAGCTCACTTTGTCTATTTTCAGTAAGTAATGTTTTCCCCTTTATGTTTCCTCCTTGTACCTGTTCCCCTCCCTTTCAGTACAGTCAGCAAGTCTTCTTACCTCAGTTATGCAGCAGAGAGAATCCCTTATAAGTATAGCTACAGGCCAACCTAATTTAAATACCTTTAATCCCAACACGGGAGGCAGAAGCTGGAAGATCTCTGTGAACTCAAGGTAGCCTGATCTACACAGTGAGATCCTGTCAAAAAAAAAATTCTTACTCTCTTTCTTAGTTAGGGTCTCTGTTGCTGTGAAGAGACACCATGACCATGGCAGCTCTTATAAAGGAAAATATTTAATTGGGGCTCACTTAGAGTTTCAGACATTTAGTTTGTTATTGTCATGGTAGAAAGCATGACAGCATACAGGCAGACATAGTGCTGGAGAAGGATCTGAGAGTTCTACATCCTAATCAGCAGGCAGCAGGAAGTGAACTGGCTTGTGCTTCTGAGACCACAAAGCCCACCTCCACAGTGACACACTTCTTCCAACATGGTCACACCTCTCCAACAAAGCCATATGTCCTAATAGTGCCCTATGGGCCAAGCATTCAAGCCACATGAGTATGGAGGCCATATCTATTCAAACCAACATATTCCGTTCCTTGGCCCTCATGGGCTTGTAGCCATGACATAATGCAAAATGTATTTAGTCCACTTTCAAAAATCTCCATAGTCTATAATAGTCTCAGACTTATTTAAAAGTTCAAAGTCTCTAGTGAGACTCATGCACTATCTTAACTATAATCCCGTATAAAATCAAAATCAAAGCAGATCACATATTTCCAACATACAATGGCACAGGATGTACATTACCATTCCAAAATGGAGGAAAGGGAGGATAGTGAGGGCTAAATTCTGGACCACAAAGCAAGACAGAAAACTCCAGACTCTGTATCTCCATATCTCATGTCAAAATGCTCTTCAGATCTCAACTCCTTTCAGTTTTGTTAACTGCAGCACACTTCTTGGGCTGGGTGGACTTCCCTGTTAGCAACTCTCCTCAGCAGGTGTCCCATGGCTCTGGCATCTTCAACATCTTGGGTTCCCCAAGGGAATCCAGGCTTCAACTTCACAGCTTCACACAGTGGTGTTTGTAGGCCTTCCTGAAGGGACATCCCCGACACATGCCTGGCCTCCGCAGCTTTTCTTAGTCCTGGAAGATGACTCCATTACCCCTTTTCTTCTGCCTTCAGCTCTAAAGCCAGAAACATGGCCCCCTTGTTCAGTTACATCTTTTCCAGCTTTTTGTTTTTGATGATTTTCTTCACAGCCTGAACTTGGCAGTTTTAGACCTAACCTCACTCTGTAGACCAGGCTGGCCTCAAAAATCTAGCCTCTGCCTTCCCGGTGCTGTGATTAAAGGTGCATGCCACAACACCTGGCTCTAAACTTTTTAAATTCCTTTTCATAAATTGGAAATTTAGCTGGGTAGGATCTTGCCCTGAGGTTACCACTCCCTTTATTCCATTTTTTAAATCTGTTTATCTCCTTGAACACAGACTTATCGCCATTCCACTTTCTGGTGCCCCTTTCTCCTCAAATTGTACACTTTGTACTTTTCCTTGCTCAGGTTGCTCGCTTTTGCACGAGAGTGAACACTAGTAACCACACAACAGAGTCAGTAACAGGCTGTTTTGAGATTTCCTCTGGCAACACAATTAATCCAAAACTCTTCAGTTTAGCCTGAGGCAGACTTTTTCAGAAAAAGTCAAAAAGCAGCCACATTCTTCACAACAATCTCCAGGCCACACTTTAATATTCTCTGAAGCCTCTTGACTCCGCCCCCAGCAGTTCATGTCACTCTTAGCACCACTTGTCCCCACAGCTCTCACTGATAGCAGCACTTGAAGCATTCAGCTACTTTTGCAATCCAAACTCCCAGTCCACATTCCTCCAGACAAAAGTATGGCCAGGCCTATCACAGCAACACCCCAGTCCCTGGTTGGTACTTCTGTCTTAGTTAGGATTTCTGTTGCTGGGAAGAGACACCAGGACCACGGCAGCTCTTATAAAGGAAAGCATTTATTTGAAGCTGACTTACAGTTTCAGAGGTTTAGTCCATTATAGTCCACACCCTCACACAGTCTAGGGAAATGCCTGAGTAATGTAGTGGCCAAGGTCAAGGTTTTCCACTTGACAAATTGCACACACATAAAGAAAATTCAGGGAAGTGCTGGAGGGCTCTCTCTCCTGTGACCTTGCCTCTCATGCTCGCTGTGCTTGGTCTTTAGTACTTCTGCTGCCCCAGTCTCCCAGTCTCGCACTTCGAATGATTTAATTAAGAAAAAAATCCCTCACAGGTGTACTCAACCCTTTGAGTTTTAGTTAATCCCAGGGGTAGTCAAGCTGACAACTAAGAACAGCCACCACATCGGATAACCTGAGTCCGATCCCCAGGACCCACATGGTAGGAGAGAACCAACTCTTGCAAGTCTTTATTGTTTCTCACACTGACTCAGCGCCGACAGTTCGTGTAGCCCGTACATTGTGCTCTCAAATGCACTTGCACACGGCATGGCCTTTTCAAGCTCCCTCCATAGTTTAGGGCATGAGTGTAATGTAAAAACTGCATGAAGCTTGTTATGGAGATAAAGGTGAGTGTTTATACAGACACCATGGCACGTGCTCGCCTGCACTCTCAGAGACGTAGACATACAGAGATTAAAGATCTGTCTTTTAACTTGAGACTTGGGTTTTTGGCTGACCGTGCTCTTTTTCTCTTTGCTACAGACCTTCGATGAATGTGTGGCTGAGGGCGGCTCAGACTGCGCTCCAGAGAAGCTCTGGCTTCAGATCCCATTCTTCTGTGGCCACAGCTCAGAGTGCTGGTAGGAAAATAAGCTTAGTTAAGGTGCTCATCTCCATATCTGTGTAACCCACATCTCACGGGCAGGAATGTGGTAGTCTACACATAAATTTAGGTTTGTTTTTCCTTAACTGTTCTTAAAAGATTCATTGTGTATACATCCTCACAGTGTGTTTTATCAAATGCAGTTATTATTTTGGCTTTGGCCTTCTGTTTTGCTGTATTCCAGCAGAGTCCTTAAAGGTAAGAGATCATTCCATAAACCTTATTTTATCCTAATAGAACTTTCTGCTTCTAGTAGATCAAGTAAAGCTAGTTAGTGGGCAGAGTATTTACCTAGTTTTATTGTTAAAGTTATTTTGAGTTCAAGAGTATCTAACAATATTCTTATAAAGTAGAGTTCTATTTAGTCTGCTAGTGAACATGAAGTACAAAAGATTTTACTAATAAAAACTTTCCCCAGAATGTTTTGTTTTTTAAATAATTGTACATATTTATTTATTCTAGTCAGTCTTTTGTTTTGAGTTGCTGAGGATCGGATTTGGGGCTTTGCACAGGCTGGGCATGTACTGGGTCACTGGCTGCCTACCCAGCTCCTCAGCTGGCCTCAGTTTAGATTCTCCTGCCTCAGGTTCTGTGGTGCGGGGGAATATAGAAGTGCACTACCATAACTGGTTGTTCAGTCATTTTGATAGAAAATGAAGAAACAAAAAGTCCATTCAAAATTAGTATTTTTTACACTATACTGGGAAATTCAAAGGATTTCTTAATTATTTGAGCCTCAGAAATTGACATAAAGTTCAAGGTCCTGCTTGTAGACCAAAGTGTCATTGTTGAAGATGAATCAGAAGCATTGGAAAGGTGTCTGTTCAGGTTTTAGACATTTCCTCTGGAAAGGAACCCAACCTATGGCCTAAATTTGACTGAGCACTTGTTCTTTGTGAATAAAGCTTAATTAGAGCGCAGTCACTAATGCTGGTGCGTTTACTGTTTGCTGAGACAGCAGAATTGAGTAATTGTGATTTAAACCATATAACCTGCAAAGTGTAGAGTATTTACTTTCTACCTGTCACAGAAAAAGTTTGCCAGCCTTGCTTTTGAATAATAAAAAGTATTGCTTAGTTGAGTTTTGATTAGAGAGGATAGTTCATATATTTTATACACAGTGAAATATATTGGGGAGATCTTAGAAATTAACTAATCTACTTCCTCATCCTCTCCTTGGGTTTTTTAGAGACAGAATCTCTTGTAGTACAGGCTGGCCTTGACCTCTTCACCCCCCTGTCTTCCCTTCCAAGTGCAAGGATGACAGATAATACTACACCCAGTTTCTTGGTCTGTGGTTTTGACTTTCTTCAAATAGTTGAGAAAACAAAAAGTGAAGCCATCGCCGCAGGTCACATTGGCACTTTAGAAGCAGAGCTAGAGCAAGGCAGGAAGAACGTTAGTGCTAATTAGATCCCAGAAGTGTAGTCTGCTTAGGATGAAGCCTGTCGACGCATTAGCTGACACTGTAAACAAAGAGATTTTTGTAGAGCTGTTTCTTACTTATTTTCTCTTTCTGGTATTTCAGAAAATACTAAAGTTTATGGGAAAAAAAGAAACAGAATTTACAAATTCAGATAAACACTAAATACAAATCACTTCGCCTTTACCATAGGGGCTTTCGGAATAAACAGAGTTTTAGAGTAGTTTAAAGCATGAATGCACACTAAGTCAGAAAAGAGAATATATAACACAAACGTGAATGTTTAAAATTGTCCTTAAAATGTGTTCATATTCAGAACCCTGTAGTAGAGTCTAAGTAACTACACGGGAGCGGGAGCTGGATGTGGAAGGAAGTTGGAAACTGGTACCTCCCTAAGATGTTGTTGTAATGTCTGCTGTAGCTGTGGCTACTTGTTCACCTCCTTCCTCCATAACTCGGAGGATCAGAAGCATGAGAACACTTAACCATTTCACAACCCAGTGTTTGGTTCTTTTTCTGTGGTTTCAGGAATGTGGGAAGCAGATGGGCTATGGATCAAGCTAAGTATAACCTAATTAATGAGTACTTCCTGGTGGGAGTGACTGAAGAGCTGGAAGACTTCGTCATGTTACTCGAGGCCGCTTTGCCCCGGTTTTTCCGGGGTGCTACAGACCTCTATCGTACAGGTATGTGCACAATAGGTTTCTTTCTAAAGCAGGTCCTAACTTGTTTGTTTGTTTACAAGTTGATTCTATAATAAATTAGACTAGTGTTCTAGAATGGGGTCCGATGGGAATACTGAACACATGAACAGTCACCGTGCTGTGCCTACTTCAGTGTATCTAAAAGTGCTTCCCGGCCTTTGTGAGTCAGTCCCGTACTCATGGCTTTCTTTTAGTAATTTAATAGCATGCCATCACTCAAAGTCTTCCTAGAGCTTACATCTGCCCTCAGTTCCATGATGGAAGAATTGAGTTTGGTGATGCATGTTTTATCATAGTTTTTAAATAAACAAAGGCCAGCAAGATGACTCAACAAAATGAAAGCTCTTGCTGCGTGAGGCTAATGATCTAAGTTAGACGCCCAGGTCAGCAGAAGCCGAGTCCAGGACCTGAGCCTCAGAACACTGTGAGTGGCAGCCTCCACTCACCCGGGGTTGATCCTCAGAACACTGTGAGTGGCAGCCTCCACTCACCAAGCATTGATCCTCAGAACACTGTGAGTGGCAGCCCCCACTCACCCATGGTTGATCCTCAGAACACTGTGAGTGGCAGCCCCCACTCACCGAGCGTTGAGCCTGTGTTTTCTGTGGCCATTCCTTGCGTCTTTTAAGTCTTTACCCTCTACCAGAATGAGCCTTGGCTGATGTTGAGTTTCTGGGTTTTACTGGGTTTTATTAATATCAGAAGGCAGCGTGTTACTTGCCCTTCAGTGTGTCATGGCAACATAAGCCACTTTTCAAGTAAAGAGTCTTTGTCTGCGTGTATTCTATAAGAATTATTTACTTTTCTTATTTTCCATTGTAAGTAGGAAAGAAATCCCACCTGAGGAAAACCACAGAGAAGAAACTGCCCACCAAACAAACCATCGCAAAGCTGCAGCAGTCTGACATCTGGAAGATGGAAAACGAGTTCTATGAGTTTGCCCTGGAGCAGTTCCAGTTCATCAGAGCCCACGCTGTCCGTGAGAAAGATGGGGACCTCTACATCCTGACACAGAACTTTTTCTATGAAAAGATTTACCCGAAGTCGAACTGAGTACAAGTGTGGCCAAAGCAGTCTTGAACCTGAACTGGGCTCCGTCGTCACCTTGTCCTCAGCTCCCCACCTGCTTTGCTGTTAACGTGTCCGAGCCCGTTCCCGTTGGGCTGAGATAGGAAACAGACATGAATGTCAACTAACTAGATGCTGGATGGGATGTCAGTGTTCTAAGGAGTTTTTAAGTGTAAGGCATTGATATATTTTTGTTATTTTGTTTTTATTTCCGTGATAATTATAATCTCCTCCCGGTGAGGGAGACCTCACATCACCTAAAATACACCCATGCAAGTTGAATCAGGAGGCTGAATACCATTTCAGAAGAGGTTCTATGATTCTCTTGCTTTGATAAAGCCTTTTTTCACCTCTCTTTGGATGAAGATGAATCTGTTTGCCACTTCACCTTCTAGAGGTTTGTGTTGCACACCTCTGCTGGATAGTGCTAATAACTTTGCCATTATCTGATTTGTTTCTGTGAATTGGGTCTCACAAAGTTTATTGGAGTGTTTGATCATGGTTTCTCAGAACTATTTCTGCTATAGTTGGGTTTTCCCATATTTATGTAGGCTTTATATTTTGGATGATCATTAGTGTTAAAGAAATCATCTTAAAACCGTGAATAACACTGTAAAAAAAGACAAAATGCTAAAGCAGTATTCCTGATTCCTGTCTCCCCAGTATCTAATATTGGGGTGCAATTTCTAAGAATGTTGGCATTATCTGAAGCTTTCTTAAGGATTTCCACACATTACTATCAAAAAGTGAGTTTAGTATTTGTTTCGCTATGAATTGTCTGTAACCCAGTACACTGAAGTGTCGGTGATCCCATATGGTATGCGATCCGTCGGTGAGCTGTGATACGGTAGGATTTTCCTACTTCTGGACTTTTACCTGTAGACTATTTTTACTACGGTGCTTTATAATGTGTTTTAAAGCATTGCATTTACAAAAGAAAAAAGGAAAATGCTGTAAATATTGCATATTTTATGTATTTGGACCAAAAAGTTACAAGTAAGTAGACAGAAGTGGTTTTGCACCAATTTTATTATGTCGAGTAAAGTCATCAGACCTACTATTCTTGTATTTCTCATTTAACTTTACTGTTACGATGTCACTGAAATGAACTAACGTAGCCTTCCAGTTTTGATAGAGAACATTACTCACCCCGAGGCATAGCGCTAATGAAAGAGCACTAGACAGCCTAACCATCTCATCACTGGCTCCCGCGCTGTCTTCTAGCTGTGTGATGTTAGGCAGTCACTTAGCCTCTCTCTGCCTTCAGTTTCCTTATCTTGAGATCAGGATACTACTGGCTGCTGTGTCTACCTCACAGGGCTGTTGTGAGGACTAGGCTGGCAAGGTGAGAGCACTTTGGAACTGTCAAGTGGTGTTTAAATGGAACTATCACTAGCATATAGTTTCATACTATCCATTCTTTTAACAATGGAAGGGAAAATCCACTCTTAAGCTTTATGAGAAAAAAAAAAACCTTTATCTTGGTATGTTTGTGTTTGATAAATATCCTCTCCATGTTTTATCTTCTGTGCTTCAGCAACTACTGAAATGTGAAACACTTGTGAACTCTAGCGACTCAGGATCTTTCTTAGCTGACGAGGAGCACCAAACTCTTCCTCAAACTTGAAAGACGTCCCTGTTTTGATTTGACCTTGTCTTTTAAAAATGGTGACCGTTTTACACCTATGGTCTCTAAAGTGTGCTTTGTAGAGTTTAATTTTTCATATTAATTCTTCACCTTCTCCCTCTGCAGATTCAGAATTCAGAGTCCTCTCAGCCAGACTTTTCTAAAGGGCAGTACCTACTTGTATGTTTAAACTTTCCTGCACAGCACCTCATCAAACAAAGCTTTTTCAGTAGAAGGCTTTAAAGGTTATCTATTGTTTAATAAGAGGGGCAAAAAGCACTGCATCAGAAAACACTTCTAAAGACGAAAGGAGTGACAGTGTCACCCTGCCCACCAACACGAAAATGTTTAGAGAACATAGCTGCGCTTTTTCCTTTCCTCCCTACCTCTGCTTTCCTCCTTACCCCTCCTTTCCTCCTTACCCCTCCTTTCCTCCCTACCCCTCCTTTCCAGCAAAAGTTTCCAGGTAGCTGCTAAAAACAAAGGTTTTTTTTTTATTTTGTTTTTTCTTTTCTTTTCTTTCTTTCTCCTTTCTTTCTTTCTTTTTCTCTTTTTCCCCCAAAGCTAAAGAACCACTTCCAGGTATACATTTGGCTGTTGAGTAAATCTGAGGTTATTTAGGTAATTAGGGTAACACTTAGTTTAGCTGGGGCATTGTAACCTGTCCTCGTAAAAGACTAGAGGAAATCAGGCATCTGTCGCTGCCTCTCAGCTCTCAGTATTGTAGGGAAACTTCACAGACAATATAGAGACCGATGACCATGGTTGTAGCCCAGTTAAACCTTAGTTTACAAAACAGACAACATCCTGAGTGTGGACCATGAGCTGCAGGCCCCTGTGCTGTGAGGAGTCATCACGGGGAAGTCGTGTCTGTGTCTGACCCAGTTTCCCAGTGGGTTTCTGTACCACCCAGAGCTCCCAGATTCCGACCCAAGAACTGTGTTCTGCCTCAGTCACACCTGTGGGTCCTTCCATTTTATGTCCATCGCTTCCAGATGACCACTTTTTCCTAATTTACTCTTTTTGGAGTGAATGGGTTCAGAGTGTCCTTTCCAAGGACTGAGAAAAGGTGGATTTGCTTCTGTTTGATTCATTTTAGTCCTAGGAGTCTGAGTCCCTAGAGTATATAACTTTATAATCAAATAGATAGAACTTCTGAATCAATGTGTATTTTTTAAACATGGCAAATGTGCTTTTCCTTTTTTTAGCCTTTGTGTTTTTTCAATAATTTGACCATAGGGAGATTGTTTTTATATGATAGTAAAACAAATTAACAAATTTGAATTTTGAAGATAATGTATATGTGTACATGTATCTATATATCTATGTTTATTTCTTATGAGACAAGAGGTAGCTTTGTGTTCGACTTGTACCAGCTGTTTTCTTATTGCTGTGAAATGGCAAGTGTTGATAATCATTGTGTTTTAAAATGTAGTGGGAGGATATATTTTGTTTTTACCGGCTTTATTCTGTAAAGTGTCCCTTAAATATATCTGATAGCAACACTTGAAGTCCTGCATGGAAGCTGCTTTTGTGTCCCCAATACAGTCCTATGGTCTCTAACATCCTGCTGCTTCTGAACTCCTGATGACTGGATTCAAATTTTCAAACCCACAAAGCTAAACATTACAGACTTTTTAAATGCTGAGCTTTACTTTCTATTCTGAAAATTCAGCTAATGCCTATAATTTGAACTCTATTGATCTTCCTCATTATATGTCCTGTTGGAAATTCGTAAAATTGTTAGCTCCATCAGGGAATTTATCAGAGTATTTTGATGTTGTATTTGCATAGTTAGATACAAAATAGTTTGTAGATGACAATTCTCTCTTTTTTAATAAAAGGAAGTTTTCTAAAAATCTGAAAGCACTAGAGAGCTTAACTGAAGCCCAGTTCACTAATATATAGCTGGTGTTTTAATTTATGTTGAAATTGTGCTCAGAGACCGTCTGTGTAAGTTACCTTGCCAGCTTTTCCAGCCATCGTTCTCAGACATTGCTGTGGTCCCAAGAGCCTTTATTATAGGACTCTCTGGTACCCAAGCCGTCTGTGAGACTTGATTTAAGAGGTCCACATGCTTCTGCGTCATTGTTTTAGTGCAGGTGCTGCTAAGTCTTTGCATCCGTGCTCTGCAGGCAGAGTTGCTGTCTACGAGGCACACTGCTCTCGGACAGTCTCCTGAGAGGAGAGCCTCCGGGTCCCAGATGTACTCCTGCCTTGGCTCCTCGGGAATCTCCTGGAGCAGGGGTTTGAGGAACTGGGTGTCATTTGGTCCGATTCATACTTTAAGGTTATATGCCGTGGCGACCTTTGCAGTACTGTCTATGAAGTAGACCCTGGTGGTTCCGATCTGTTAGAAATGAATGCTCATGTGACACTCGTGTAAATGTGTGTGAGCACCTGTAAATCAGTGTTGATTGCATTTTAACTTTAGTCAATCAGCGCCTACCCACCCCCAATTTTTGGGGAAATGTCCCTCCTCTCTCCTCTGCTCCCATCCCTTACTCTCCTCACCCTGCCCTCCCGGCCCACCACTATCACTTAGCTAGACTTTCCAACTTGAAACCATTTTGTCATATCTCTGGGAGAGATAACCCCCTTTCCCTCGGCATCCTTGCGGCTCTCTGCTATTGAAGTGTCTCAGCCCCTACCTGGAGCAAAAGCTATCAAATCAGCACTGTGGGGATGGAGTGTGGCTTGGTGCCCTGCTGCTGCATTGATGGTGCGCGACAGTTTCCAGCGTGACCTGGTGTTCAGTGTCACCTGAGATCTCAGATATTGTCACCAGGAAGTCCTGCATCACCACCACTCTGCAATGCTTTCCCAGCCTAATTCTTGATAGGTTTTTATGTGTTTGCCTTCGCATTTATTAGTCGTTGGTGTTGACATTTCATATAGGAAATTTATAAGGTATACCTAGGTATATGGTTAGCAACAGAAAAAAGTAAAACAAGGCAGGCTGTTCCGTTGATAGGAGATGGGGGTGTGTGAACCTGCTCAGCACTTGTGGGAGGCTCTTCAGGCAAACAGGAGTGCCACCTCAAGTCCCTCACAAGTTCAGGTGTTTTGGTTTTTTTTGTTTGTTTGTTTTTTAAAGCTTACTAATTTTAGCAAGGCATAGTGGCACACACCTTTATCTCAGCATTTGGGAGGTAGAGACAGGTTCTGAGTTTCCTGGTCTACATAGTGAGATCCTGTCTTGAAAAAAATTGAAACCAAAAACTAAAATAAAGATTTATTAATTTTGTCTGGTATGGTGGTCCATGACTTTAATTCCCTTTAATTCCAGCACTTGGGAAGCAGAAGCAGGTGAAGCTCTGAGAGTTCAAGGCCACCCTGGTCTACTTAGAGAGTTTCAGAAAAGCCAAGGCTGTGTAGTAAGATGTAGGCAGAATTTCTCTGTGTCCCACCAGCCGGTTCCCAGATAACCACACAGAGACTTAAGACTTAAAATAACCGCTTTCTATTAATCTTTGTGCCGTCCTGAAGCTCGTTTACCTCATGCACGTACTTCCCATCCTGCTCCTCTGCCTCTCAGGCTGGGTGTCTCCTGACCACTCCTCAGACTCCACCCTTCTTCCCAGGGTCCTTAATTTGACTTTCCCGCCCATTATCTTCCTGCCCAGCTGTAGGGCCAGTCAGCTCTTTACTAACCAATAAGAGTAATCCATTTTTACAGTATACAAAGATGCTCCACAGCAGTAAGACTTTTTATGTATGGGGATTTTGCCTGAATGTATGTATGTATGTATGTATGTATGTATGTATGTATGTATGTATGTGCGCCTTGTGCATGCCTGATGCCCACAAAGGCCAGAAGAGTACATCAAGGCCCCTGGCTCAGTGAGTGCTGGGAACTGAACCAGTGTCCTGAAAGAACAACTGCACTTAACTCCTAAGCCAGCTCTCCAGCTCTGATACCTTTCCTTTAAATAAGAAATAATATTTCTTTGTTTTCTTTTGTGCATGTGTCTGTATGTGAGCGAGTGTGTGTGTGTGTGCGCGCACGCACACGCGTGCGCGCACGATTCTGTGCCTGAGAAGAGAGCATTAGGTCTCCTGGAACTGAAGTTTACAGACAGTTCTAAGCTGCCATGTGGGGCCTTGGAATTGAGCTTGGATCATCTGCAAGAACAGCAAATGCTGTTAACCCCTTATCCATCTCTCCAGTCCCAAGGTCACACTTTGAATTTAACTTCTTGGAGGAATGAGGAGAGGATAACTAGAGCCTCTCCTGAGAGTGACCTCTCCCTCTTTCTTATATTTCCTCACCCCAGCTGTGTGGAGTCTTGGGAAATGGTAGGACACATGGGACATAGAGTGTTATTTGCAGGGGGAACCCAGACTGTACAGCCTTGGAAAGATTGTCTGTGTTGGGGTTGGACTTTTAGCTGGTACTACCGTTTGTTGGTATCCCAGGTTCCTGTAAGTAAGCTCAATGAACCCATTGGTTCACCAAGACCTCTCTTGGATCTGAAGTTTCAACTCCAAAGTAATATAAGCAATAAGAAACACAGATGAAGCAGTGTACCCAGTCCTAATCTCACTGGTGAGCAGGCTTCTTCCCTTGTCACCAAGTCAACTTAGAATATATGCTAATGGGTGTTAAATATGGTTAGAATCATGGAGAGCCAATGTGGGAAAGAAAGAAAGAAAGGAAGGAAGGAAGAAGGAAGGAAGGAAGGAAGGAAGAAAGAAAGAAAAAAAAAGAAAGAAAAGAAAAAGTACCTAACAGTTCAAATGTTGATTTCACAAACATGAGTTGACCTAACTGGGTATTTCATGTCACATCCCTAAGTTTCAAAGTGTGTGTGGCAGTGACAGTCAGTTTGTAAATATTGTGTTGAATCTGAAGGTTCTCTTGATAGTGTAGCCAGATTGGGCAATGAGAAATGTAGAGTATTTTTGAAGTTTTAGGTATTCTATACTGTTCATGTTTTTAAGCTTCTCTTAACATTGACTAGCAGAAAAAAAGGGGGACAAAAATGCTAGGTAACCAACCTCTCCAGTAATTACATTTGAAGTAGGCCAAGCCTTCAGAAAATGGCTAAGAGGGAATAAATGGGGTACTGTTCAAATACGAGTAACCAGGGACTTATTTTTCCCCTTTTAAAGTAATTTCAAGTTCTCCCGGGAATTAGTAAATTAGGTCTCTTGGCATAGTAAGGTAATCTGATCAGAATATGGAGACTCAGTGGAACTCAGGCTGTCAATCCGTCCTGGGCCTGTTTAGAGGAGGCTGTGGATATTAAACCCTCTCATACTTATTCTGTTTCTGTCATCATTTCGTCTTGGGGCTCTTTAAAGAACACCGCAGACAGGAGCAGTTTAAACGCCAGCCGGTTATGTTTTGCTCCTGCACACTGACGGCTCCATGCATGGTCATTGAAAGGCAGATGCAAACCCAGATGGAATTAGATGCCCTCTCTGCTGCAAGCCTGCAGTCAGACAGTCTGTGATGTTTGATATGGATCTTCTGAGTGGACAAGATGAGATTAGATTGGTCTCTCTGGGAGCCTGCCCTATTCATTTTTGCAAGAAAGTTCTGTTGGAGGCCCAAGGACTGCCAGGAGCAAAGTGGAAACAGTCTGCCTTTCTCCTCTTATCAAGATCCACAGCTGGTTCCGCACTGAGCCATGGAGCAGACCGTGGTAAAAGGATTTGAATAATGAATTGGATCAGAAGCCGAGAAGGAGGTCCCTGCCACCCACGATTGCAATATGAGCTTCTTGTGTTATAACTTTATTTCCATTTTTCGTTATAATATATGACAAAAGCTGGCATCTCCAACATAGAGCAAATGGCTATCTTTAGTTACTGGTGGCTTTTGTGTGTTAATAACCCTACTATGTGCTGGGCACTGCAGTGCAGGCTCTACATCATGCCCTTTAATGTTTATAATAATCCTCATATTTTCTCCAGTGTGATTCTTCGGAGCTTTATAAGCTCCCAGGGCACTTTCACATACTTGCAGTCCATTCTCACGGCAAAGGAATTCCACTGTCCTTTTTTTTACAGCTGCTATTAAACAGAGGGTTATTGTGCACTGCTTGTTAGGTTCAGCCCATGAGAGTGCAAGGGCTCTAATCCTGGCCACATCACCATCTCCTGGGAATCCATGCTGTCATGAGAAGACCCTTGCTGGTTAGGTGGTTCTGACCCATGCTGAAGTTCAGGAACTACAGGATCAAAACAGCAATTCGAAAAGGAAAACCTAAAGTTTAGCAAGCTTAACCTGGTTGGTTAAATAACTAAGACTGCTCATAGCAGAGGTAATGAGCTAAGATGTGAACCCAGATCTGTCTGACCCCAGAATCTTCTGCTTCCAACTCAAGGCTGCTTTATTATATATTGCATTCTTGGCACCGACTTTCCAAAACACGAGTTGGGGAAGAAGAAAGCAAGTAATTAAAATAAAAACATCTCTGTGTTCTAGAGTGATTTGTAAGTTTCACCCTTTCTTATGTGTTGGAATAGACCCCAAACGGTGTATAGTACATCTGTGGAAGGC